TTAACTTTATTTATTTATTTATTTTTAATTTGACCAGAGAGGGACAGAGTGAGTGAGTGCGTGAGAGAGTGAATGAGAAAGTAAGCCACCAGGTCCGGGACTCAAGCCACGGTTGGCCATGTGGGAGTCCAACGCCCCTAACCACCATGCCACCTGGTCCCCAGATAATGTAACTTTGAGGTCTTTTCTAACCTCAGTGTTCAATGTGAATCTGTAGTGCTTCTGATCAGAACCCACTGTAGCACCTTTTGTCAGGTTACTGACTTCACAGTCTTCTCTTTGTGTGCCAATGCTCTTAGAGTGATGACAGTTGTTGACTGGCTTGGGTAATGATGAGTTCTGCCCTCTGCGATTACAAAGTAGACTGGCTGGGGACCAGCAGATAGCATAATGGCTATGTTGCTGGACTCTCACATGGTCGACCATGGTTTGAGTCCCAGACCCGGTGGCTTAAACTCACACCAGGCGTGTGTGCGTACATGCCCAAGATCCCAAGAGGAGAATAGAGGAGAAGGGATTGCGGCGTGGCCATTCCCCCTGGGGGGTGATTTCTCACTTTCTGTCTGTGTTTCTGGCAAGCGCACACACCCTATAGCAAAAACCTCTCCAAAAAAAAAAAAAAGTAGACTGGTTGTTCTATCGGGGTTAAGAGTTTCATATAGAACTGGCCATGAGCTCTCTACTAATGCATAGTGCATATTCTTTCCTTACAGGTTGAAATTTATAAGAGTTTCCGCCCTGGTGACATTGTCTTGGCCAAAGTGGTATCCTTTATTCCCAGCAGATGCTGGTACTTTTTCAAAAGAAGAGATGGGAGTTAAGAAGCAACTTGAGTGGCTATGGGGGACTTAGAACCTTCGTTTTCCTTACCCAGTGTCCTGTGACTAGATCTCCCTTGGGGACGCACAGTCAAACTACCTGCTGACCACTGCCGAGAACGAGCTGGGCGTGGTGGTGGCCCACAGTGAGTCAGGTGAGTCAGTTCTTTCTGTGCTTCCACACCTCCCTTTTCCATGGGAACTGTGGTTTGGGGTTAATCCAAATGGGGTTAATTGTTTTCTCTGGTTTCTCTTGTTTTTAATGATGCGAGAAGCAATATGAGTAGAGATACTTAACTGGTAAGATTAGAATGCTGCTTTTGGGGGCCAGCCAATGGTAGCTAAGGCATCTGGATCCCACATGGCTGACTATGCTGTTGGCGCCCCAGACCCAGTGGCTTGAAAAACACACAGTGTGCATGTGTGCCCAAAATCCCAAAAGGAGAATGGAAGGGTTGCAGCACATCCAAAGTCTTGAAAGGAGGGAGGCAGCACGGGTCTGCTCCCTGGGAGGATTCTCTCTCTCTCTCTCTCTCTCTCTCACTCATGCATGCACATACTCCCTCCCTCTCTCCCTCTTCCTCCTTCTCTCCAGCAAGTACACACACCCTGTAGCAAATTTGGGGGGGGGGGACCTCTATGTAAAGAAACAGGGATCTCACTCCATAATTCAGTGGAATAAACAAAGTCTTTTCAGTATGAGGTGTGTTGCACTGGCACTGGGTAGCTGAGTGACACTTCAGTCTCGTGCCCATCTGAGAGGAGAAAAGTCTTGGGCAAGTATTGGAGACCCAGCTCCAACACCATCTCTCCCCTTGCAGGCGTCCAGATGGTGCCCATCAGTTGGTGTGAGATGCAGTGCCCTAAGACCCACACTAAAGAACTCCGGAAAGTGGCCCGAGTACAGCCTGAATTCTTACAGACCTAAGATGCCAAACTTTACCCCATAGAGGGGGCAAGCTGTTTCCAAAGGCACAAATAAGAAAATGACATCAGGGTGCCATCGTCTTTATTCACACACCTGGGACCAGCCAGAGCTCACCTTCAGAAAAACCTGCCAGAATCTTACTACAGATGGGACATTTTTCTTGTGAACCTTTTAGTGGATTTCCTTCTCTTGAACGATGAAACTCTTCTTTTGGAGGCAGTAGCAAACAAAACTGGCATGTTGGAAATAGCTCATTCCTTCTGGTAGTCCTTATAAATATAGCTGTGACTAAAGTATATTTTTTTATTAAAAGGGCTTTATGGTTTCTATATCTTGACAAGAAAAGGCATCTGTGTGGTGCTATGACATTAAAGCCAGGACGTGCCTGGCGGTGCCCATAGTCCGATGTGTGTTAAATGTGTTAAGTGCCGGCTTGCTCTGGACAAAGCCAGATCACTAGTCTTGTTTGCGTGTTTTTTTTTTTTTTTTTTGGAGAGGTTTTTGCTATAGGGTGTGTGCGCTCACCAGACAGACAGAGAGAGACATAGAGACAGAAAGAGAGAAATCACCCCCCAGAGGGGATGGTCACGCCGCAATCCCTTCTCCTCCATTCTCCTCTTGGGATCTTGGGCATGCACGCACATGCGCCCGGTTTTGTGACTAAAGTATATTTTTTTATTAAAAGGGCTTTATGGTTTCTATATCTTGACAAGAAAAGGCATCTGTGTGGTGCTATGACATTAAAGCCAGGACGTGCCTGGCGGTGCCCATAGTCCGATGTGTGTTAAATGTGTTAAGTGCCGGCTTGCTCTGGACAAAGCCAGATCACTAGTCTTGTTTGCGTGTTTTTTTTTTTTTTTTTGGAGAGGTTTTTGCTATAGGGTGTGTGCGCTCACCAGACAGACAGAGAGAGACATAGAGACAGAAAGAGAGAAATCACCCCCCAGAGGGGATGGTCACGCCGCAATCCCTTCTCCTCCATTCTCCTCTTGGGATCTTGGGCATGCACGCACATGCGCCCGGTTTTTTAAGCCACCGGGTCCAGGATGCGAACCGCAGTTGACTCTGTGGGAGTCCAGCGACATAGCCATTATGCTAACTGCTGGTTCCCTGTTTTTGGTTTTCTGAGAATGTCTGCCTGTTGAGTACTTAACTGCATTGCCAGTCACTGAGTCAAGGGCTCCGTCTACTCCCGTAGATGCTGACAATGTAGTGAAAGTTTGGGGCACATGTGTGGTACGGTAGCACGTGAGTAGGTTGAAACCACCTGGTAAACTGATCGCTGATACAGTGGGTATTCCAGGAATCACATCTGAATTCAAAAGCATGGTAGTGAGATGACCAGGGGAAGATTTGTGACATGCAACCAAGAGGAATTAAAGAACTTAGATGAGTGACAATCCTGAAGGCAGAGAGAAGCCCACACAAGCAGAAGCACAAACGAAGGTGTGAGTTGGGGAATGAAGATGTGATGAGAGAGAAACCTGGAGAGGTTGTAGAGAAATGGGAAAGAGGGACCAGCAGTTGGCGTAATGGCTATGTCACTGGACTCCCACATAGTCTACTGCAGTTCAAGTCCCGGACCCAGTGGCTTAAACTCAGGCCTAGCGCATGTGCGTGCATGCCCAAAATCCTAAGTGGAGAATGGAGGAGAAGGGATTGCAGCATGGCCATCTCCCCTGCGGGATGATTTCTCGATTTCTGTCTCTCTCTCTCTCTCTCCCGCCCTCTCTCTGTCTTTCTGGCGAGCGCATGCACTCTTTAGCAAAAACCTCTCAAAAAAAAATCTAAGAAAAAAAAGTCAAGGTAACCAAATTCCATATGGCCCAATTTTGAGTCCAGACCCAGCAGCTTGAAAATCACACTGGGCATCTGTGCGTGCATGCCCAAAATCCCAAAAGGAGAGTGGAGAATGTTGTGTTGGGTCCGTCCGCGGGGGGGGGGGGGGGGGGTCCTCACTTTCTCCAGTGAGAGCACATGCCCTATAGTAAACTAAAAATAAAGTTTATATATATATGTGAGCTATTTAACTTCTTCCCCTCCCTCAAGTCTATTTTCTCATCCATTAAAATTGGGATAAAAATACCTACCTTGGGAACCAGCAGTTAGCGTAATGGCTATGTCGCTGGACTCCCACGTAGTCGACCGTGGTTCACGTCCTGGACCCGGTGGCTTAAAACTCACGCCGGGCGCGTGTGCGTGCGTGCCCAAGATCCCGAGAGGAGAATGGAGGAGAAGGGATTGCGGCGTGACCATCCCCCCTGGGGGGTGCTTTCTCGCTTTCTGTCTCTATGTCTCTCTCTCTGTCTGTCTGGCGAGCGCACGCGCCCTACAGTGAAAATCTCTCAAAAAAAAAAAAAATACCTACCTTCAAGTAATGTGGAAATTAAGTTTAAAAAAAACCTGGGGGGGCCAGCAGTTAGTGTAATGGCTATGTTGCTGGACTCGCATAGTCGACCAGTTCGAGTCCCAGACCTGGCGGCTTAAACTCATGTGGGGTGCGTGCATGCCGAAGATCCTGAGAGGAGAATGGAGGGGAAGGGATTGCGGCATGGCCATCCCCCCTGGGGAATGACTTCTCACTTTCTGTCTCTCTGTCTTTCTCTTTCTGGCGAGTGCACGTGCCCTATAGCAAAAAGCTCTCCAAAAAAAAAAGAACCAACCAACCCTGGGACCGGCAGTGCCTAATAATGGTTACGTTGCTGGACTCCCACATTGCCCACCATGGTTCAAGTCCCAGACCCCGGCAACTTGAAACTCTCATCAGGCGCATGTGCGTGCGTGCCCCAAATCCCAAGGAGAATGGAGAAGGGATTGCAACATGGCCATCCCATCGGGGGATTATTTCTCACTTTCTGTCTCTGTCTATCCAGGAATTGCACACACCCTATCACAAAAACCTCTCCTCCCCCAAAAAAAAGATGGTTGAATTTATTCTTTTACTCAAAGTTCTTTTTTTCTCTTTTTAAATTATTTTTAAATTTACTACAGGGAACGTGATCACCAGAAAGACAAGAGAGAGAGAGAAAGCAAGCCACCAGGTCCGGGACTTAAATCATGGTCAGCTATGTGGGCGTCCAGCGCCTTACTCACCATGCCACCTGCTGGCTAGTTCTTTTCTTTATTCATGATGTTTGCACATGAAAGAGAGGAACGCCATTCTCTGGTCATGCAACAACCCCCTTCCTCCAATCCCCCCACCCTTTGGATCTTGGGCAGTCATGTGCATGCCTAGCATGTTTCAGGTTGGTCGGGCCAAGGAGTCAAAGCACAGTCACCACGTGGGGCACAGCTGCTCTCTAACAGCACATTACCGCTGCCATGGAGACAGCTCAGAGGTATTTACATTTCAGAATAAGGACGCTGTTTAAACGAATGTCCTTTAGCTGGCCTCCAGGACTCAGTAGTGTGTCTTCTGGCATGTTTCTACATTCTTTTTGGGTGGTTTCCTCTTCCACAAACAAGGGTTACCAACCCTCTCATGGTTCTGAAACCTGCGAAACACTGCATGCTGTCCCTCACCCAGCAGCTGGCACCAAGGGCTTCATCAGTTCGCTGTAAGAGATGAGGGTGTCACTTGCTCCCAGTAGAAGGAAGGTATGTTTTCTCTGGCCTGATACGCTTCCTCACATTCTGTGATCTTTTCAGAGCCTGTAGTGAGGTCAGCATGGGTGGCGCCGCTTCTCAACTGTGTATAATGTATTATTCTTTCTCTGCATACGTAAGTCATTTTGTGAGGTTATGTGTCATTTTGAAGACAATAGCTGACTGACATGGTTAAAATTTTAGAAGCCTTGATGAAAGGTATAAATCAAGTGTGAGTTACCAATAGAAAAGTGATTTTAAAGGACTGCCTCCACAGCCTATGGTTAAGGGAGCCACATCCCACATGGCCAAGTTTGGCTCAAATCCCAGCCTTGGTGGCTTGAAAAACATATTGGATGTGTGCTTGTCCCAAATCCAGCAGTTTGGACAAGGGTCATGCCCCAGCATGACCACGCCCCATTGGGTGGTGCTTTCTCTCTGGCAAGTGCACAAACTGGCAATTAAACAACAAAAAAGGGGGGCTAGCAGGTGGTGTCATAGTTAAGGCACTGGACTCCCACATGGCCAACCACAGTTCAAGTGCTGGACTGGGCAGCTTGAAACTCAACCCTATGTGCATGTGTGCATGCCCAGGACCCCAAGAGAAAGAAGGGATTGTGGCATGGCCATCCACCTGGGGATGATTTCTCACTTTCCCTCTCACTGTCTCTCTTTCTCTCTGGCAAGTGCCTATGGCAAAGTATCTTTAAAAATGTGGCCAAGAAAGCTCCACTTAAGACTACAATGGAGGGGCCAGCAAGTGGCATGGTGGTTAAAGGTGCTGGACTCCCACGTGGCCGACCACGGTTCAAGTCTCGGACCTGGTGGCTTGCTTTCTCACTTCTCTCTCTGTCTCTCTCTAATCAAACTGGAAAATAATGATCATAATAATAAAGTTAAATAAAATAATTATTAAAAAAAAAAAAAGACTACAATGGACTTTTAGATGTTGGCTTTCCAATCAAGAGCCACTTGGTAGCCAGGACCTCTGGAGAGGAACTACACAGAACAGGGAGAGCTCGGCCAGGGCTCTGCCCACTCCTACACTCCTGGGAAACCTGAGAGAACGTGACTCTGGGCCTGTGTCACATTGAGACAGGTAGTCCTAACATGCTTCATCTGTCACACTAGGACTTGGGTAATAGCTGACATTTCAAGTTGAACGCAGGCTTTCTCAGATGAGAACTTGATACGTACACATCACACGGGGAGGTATTGCACATCACTCCTTTATTATACTGATCTGGAAAATGTTAGTAGTTATGCTCAAAATGAGTACTGGGCCCACGTGACAGGACCACACAACTAGGACATAATTCAGAAATAAGACACAGTAAGACACGCTCGAATGTGATCAAAAGGCATTTTGCTGCCGCAAAACAAGGGGGAGAGGTCTAAAATACACAGCAGGATACACTCCTCCTTGAAGTCGAGGAACCTATCCCGGTCTGTGTGAGGAATGGCTTAACTTCTGGCGACCACTGTGGGACCACTTCAGTCACCACTAGGAACCCCAGAAGGGCTTTTGTTGTTTTGTGTTATTTATATATATGTATATATTTCTCTTTTTTTTTTGTAAAAATGCAACATCTTAAATCAGGATTGATCCCAGCCTTCTGGAGCCAACTTGAGGGTCAGGAAGAAGTCGTGTTTTGCGTCTTTAATCACCATGCACATTCTATCATCTTCCACTGGAAGGCCTAGTGCCCATCAGGGACTTGCCTCCAGAAAAGCAAGGCCTGGCCCCCGGGGAACACGAACAGGCCCTCTGACTTCTCGGTGGCCTTGCCTTAGCATGGTTCCTCCCTAGCCCTACTCAAGCAGGTCCATAGTAAACAAAGCTCTAAAAACCCCGAGTGACCACCTCTTACTCTCAGGTAAGAGGAACCTTCCCTCGGCTTGGACTGAAAACCTGTGCCCTAGAGATGCTATCTCCTAGACTGCATGAAGCAAATGGATGCAGGAGACACAATGGCCAAAATGAAAATAGGAGCCACTGGGCCCATCTGTGGCCTCCACTTTTTTTCAGATGCCTTCAGATGTGGTCAGTGTGACATGTGCAGGGGAGGGTAGAGAGGGATGGGATGGGCAGGGAGGGGGCTCCTCAGGATGGTGGTCTGCCTGCTCGCCTTCACTTCTTGGCCTTGCCCTGGGCAGCCACAGCTTCCATGGCTTTACGCACGGTCTCTTCATCCCCCAGGAACTGCATGGGCTTGATGGGCTTCAAGTTCTTGTCCAATTCATAGACAATGGGGATACCAGTCGGCAGGTTCAGCTCCATGATAGCCTCTTCAGAGAGACCTGAAAACACCCACCGTGATCAGTCACGGGAAGATGCGACTACTTCACCCCTCTAGGAGACAAAGGCCTTAAGTAAGACATCTTTTCTGACCTTTTCTTTGCCTAATAGAGCCAACACACAGGGAATGGCTCCCAATACTGATTTTCCAACCACTGAACTAAAAATAAAAAGCAAGAGAGAGCCCCCTTTTTTTTTTTTTTTTTTTTTTGGGTGTTTTTTGGTCTTTTTTGATTTTTTGCTATAGGGCGCGTGCGCTCACCAGAAAGACAGAGACAGACAGAGAGACAGAAAGTGAGAAATCACCCCCCAGGGGAGACGGCCATGCGACAATCCCTTCTCCATTCTCCTCTCGGGATCTTGGGCGCACACGTGCCCGGCATGAGTCTTAGCCTCCAGGTCTGGGACTCGAACCACGGTTGACAACGTGGGAGTCCAGAGACATAGCCATTACGCCAACTGCTGGTCCCAAGAGCCCCTATTCTAAGACAGGCCACCAACAAACCATAGAAAGGTGTATACTGCTGATGTCCCTGCTAAGGTGGGATCTAGGAGCCCAGAGAAGCCATGCCCCAGACGTTCGATACAGCCCATCCAGCTGGCCATAAGTCAGCATAAACCAGCACGTCTGGACTAAGATGCAAATTGAGATTCCTGTGTGAGGCAGAGCTGGGCTTTGACTAAGGGGGATTTAACTGACAGTTTCAACTGGCAGTCCTAGCCTAGAGGTGGTGATCCTAAACTCAGAATGTACCAGATCACCTGAAGGACAGATGCCTGAGCTCTGCAGAGCACATTTTAATAGGGGAGAGGGTGTTTCCCCACCAGGAGTCAGTCTAGATCATCAGTATGTCCTTTCCCGAAGGCCCCCTTTGTCCTTTCAGCCCCTGACTAGTGGCAGTTCTACTCTGATCCTCTCGAGACCCCTCTAAAACACACACATACCCTCCAGGTGCTTGACGATGCCCCGCAGGCTGTTGCCATGGGCTGCAATCAGTACGCGTTTCCCCTCCTTGATCTGGGGAACAATTTCCTCATTCCAGAAGGGCAGAGCTCTGGCAATCGTGTCCTTCAGACTCTCACAGGAGGGCAGCTGGTCTTCGGTGAGATCTGCATACCTGCGATCCTGAACAACAAAGTCCAAGTTCACCAATGATTAGCGATTGCACCGGAGTATAATGCTGCCCACTCCTGTCTCCTAAGAAGTGAGTGATGGGTGAAGGTCTGCCACCAGGGTCTAGAATGCAGCTGAGAGTTTGGAAATGGAGATAAACAGGATCCTGTCCCAGCCTCCCCAGCTGTCCACCACAGACAAGATCCACAGTTCAAGAGAAATATAAGTAGAGCCAGCAGGTGGCATTGTGGTTAAGAGCTAGACTCCCACATGGCTGACCACAGTTCAAATCCCAGACCTGGCGACTTGAAAATCATGCCAGGAACATGTGGGTATACGCCCAAAATCACAGGAGATGAAGGGACTGGGGGGTGGCCACCACCCCTGGGGGTGATATCTCTCTCTCTCTCTCTCTCTCTCTCTCTCTCTCTGGTGAATGCATGTGCCCTATGGCAAGAAACTTAAAAAGAGAGAAAACTTAGTGATTTAAAAAGTTACACAGGGCCAACCAGTGACATAGTAGTTAAGGTGGCTGGATCTGACAGGGTCAACTGTGCAGTTCAAGTCTCAGACCCAGTAGCTTGAAAAACACAAAGGGTGGGACCAGCAGGTAGCGTAATGGCTATATCGCTGGACTCCCATGTAGTCGACCACAGTTCGAGTCCCAGACCCAGTGGCTTAAACTCACACCAGGCACGTGTGTGTGTGTGCCCAAGATCCAGAGAGGAAAATGGAGAAGGGATTGTGGTGTGGCCATCCCCTCTGGGGGGTGATTTCTCGCATTCTGTCTCTCTGTCTCTGTCTGTCTGGCAAGCGTATGCACCCTATAACAAAAACCTATCCAAAAAAAAGAAAAACACAAAGGGTGTGTGTGCCCAAAATCCCAAAGGGACAGTGGAGGAGAAGGGACATGGCATAGCCATCTCCCCCATCTTCAAGGCTCTCACTTTCTCTCTCTAGCAAGCACATATCCCTTATAACAAACTTAAAAAAAAAGAAAAGGGACCAACAGATGCCATAATAGTTACATCGTTGGACTCCCATGTAGTCAACTGCAGTTAGGGTCCCGGACCCAGTGGTTTGAAACTCTCCCCAGGTGCACATGCATGTGCATGTGTGCCCCAAATCCCTAGAGGTTATTGGAGGGGAAGGGACTGTGGTGTGGCCATCCCCCCAGGGGGTGATTTCTCACTTTCTGTCTCTCTGGTGAGTGCACACATCCTATAGCAAAAATCTCTCTCTCTAAAGAAAAGAAAAGTGGGACCAACAGATGGTGTAATGTTTACATCACTGGACCCCCACATAGTCAATCACAGTTCAAGTCCCAGACCAGGTGGCATGAAACCCACACCAGGTGTGTGTGCATACATCAGAATGTAGGAGAAGGGATTGCAGCATAGCCATCTCCCCGTGGGATGTTTCCTCACTTTTTGTCTCTCTCTGTCTCTCCAGCGAGTGCACGCACCCAATAGCAAAAAAAATCTCTCTTTAAAAAAATAGTTACAGGGACTAGCAGTTAGTGTAATGGCTATGTCACTGGACTCCCATGTAGTCGACCACAGTTCAAGTCCCGGACCCAGAGGCTTAAAACTCATGCTGGGCGCGTGTGCACCCAAGATCCCAAGAGGAGAATGGAGGAAAAGGGATTGCAGTGTGGCCATCCCCCCTTGGGGGTGACAGAGGATCACTTTCTGTCTTTCTGGCGAGCGCACACGCCCTATAGCAAAAAATATCCCCCCTCCCCAAAAAAAGTTACATGGGCTGGCAGGTAGCGTGGCGGTTAAAGGCCCTAGACTGACTGTGGTTCAAGTCCCAGACCCGGCAGCTTGCTTTCTCCCTTTCCCTTTCTCTCTCTCTCTGTCTCTGGCCAAATTGAAATAATAATAATAATGGGAACCAGCAGTTAGCGTAATGGCTATGTCGCTGGACTCCCACGTAGTTGACCGCGGTTCGTGTCCCGGACCCGGTGGCTTAAAACTCACGCCGGGCGCGTGTGCGTGCGTGCCCAAGATCCTGAGAGGAGAATGGAGGAAAAGGGATTGCGGCGTGACCATCCCCCCTGGGGGGTGATTTCTCGCTTTCTGTCTCTATGTCTCTCTCTGTCTGTCTGGCGAGCGCACGTCCCCTACAGTGAAAATCTCTCCAAAAAAAAAAAGAGAGAAAATTTCTTCCAAGATAAACAATATCTTTTAACAAATGAAATTCTTTCCTTGAAAAAGAGATTAAAGTGAGCTGTTTTATCATTAATTATGAACTCAGTTGGCAGATACTAATAAAAGTTAAAAAAAAAAAAAAAAAGTGTGAGTCCCAAATTTTAATCTTTTAATTCTTATCTTTTAGATCCCGGCTGAAGGGACTGGACCCCGGCGTGTCCATACCTTACTGATGTTGCTGTAGAAGGGGTGGTCGGGCTCCATCGGGGGCGGCCGGACGGTAGGAACGCCTCCAGATCTTCACCTGCGCCTCCCCGTGCTTGGCCGCAGTTTCTGCCTTGTTGAGGCCGGTGAGGCCCCCGTAGTGCCGCTCGTTGAGGCGCCATGTCCTCACCACCGGCAGCCACATCTGGTCAATGGCATCCAGCACTGTCCAGAGGGTCCGGATCGCCCTCTTCTGCACTGAGGTGAAGCAGATGTCAAATTCGTAGCCGGCATCTAGAGTCAGAAGTTCAAAGCAATGAGCCAATCAGGTCCACTCTGAATCAGTTTTCTTACATATAAATCTCTAGTACAGGTAGTCCGTGTGAAAATTATCTGGCCAAACAGTTTATTTTATATATCTTTGCAGGAAATATAATATTCTGCCTTCAGGGAAGACAGCATTTGCTGACCTATGTTACAGATGACAATATACCCCCTAACATACTGTCAGCTAGCCAGCCCGAGAGCTGAGCTGCTCGTCCATCCTAAACCGCAATGTTGTGCTCATGCACACTCTAAGAATTTATGTCCGGGGCAAGCAGGTGGCATGGTGGTTAAGGTCCTGGATCCCACATGGCCAACACCATGGTTCCAGTCCTGGACCCAGGAGCTTGAAAAAATCACACCAGGCATGTGTGCATGCACATCCAAAATCCCAAGAGAAGGGACTGTGACATGGCCACCCTCCCAGGGGGGTGATTTCTCACCCCCACCCCATCTCTGCCAAACACACACACTCTACAGCAAAAAACTATAAGAGAGAATTTTGCTACAGGCACTTGTGCTAGCCAGAGAGACAAAGCGAGAAATCAACCCCTAGGTGGAATGGCCACACCGCAATCCCTTCTCCTCCATCTTTCTCTCAGGATTTGGGCATGCACACACATGCACCCAGTGTGAGGTTTAAGCTGCCGGACCCGGGACTTGAACAGCAGCTGACTACGTGGGAGTCCAGTAACATAACCATTACACCATCTGCTGGTCCCTCTCCTTCCATTTTTTAGAGAAAGGATCCTTAGTAAGTGTAATCTCTTAATAAATGATAATAACTACTACTTACAGAGTGCTCACCACCAATCAGGCACTGGACTAAATACCTAGTATGTTTTATTTCATCTTCCCGACAGTCTCGTTTTACCAGAGGAGAGCACTAGAGGCGGGAAGAGCTCAGGAAATCTAGATCACAACTGTCACCCTCCAGACTGAAGCCCAGGCTGTGCGGCTCCAAAATTCAACCCTTAACCACCATCTCTGGGGAGTCCCGTTTTCTTATCCCCTAAGCTCGTGGCATCTGTATTGTATTATAGCTAGAGTTGTCACTCAGATATTTAAAAAGGAAAATGGGGTTTGGAAGTCCCAACCATCAGGACACAGCGAAAGCTCTCACAGGGTGCTGATAAAACTTCAGTTTGGGGGGCCAGCAGGTGTCGCGACAGTTACAATTCAAGTCCCAGACACGCTTGAAGACCATGCCGGGAGAATGGAGGAGAAAGGACTGCGGCTTGGTCATCTCACCACCCCCCCACCATGGTGATTTCTCGCTTTACCTCTTACTGTCTCTGTTGCTGTATCTTGGCAAGTGCACATGCCCTAAGGCAGAAACCTCTTTTAAAAAAATAACTTCACTTTGTTGGGACCAGCTAGTGGTGTAGTAGTTACATCTCTGGACTCCCAAATGGCCAGCAGTTCAAGTCCCAGACCTGGTGGCTTGAAAATCACACCAGGCGTGTGTGCGTGCATGCCAAAGATCCCAAGGCAAGAATAAAGAAGGGTCTGTGGCGCGGCCATCTCCTCTGGGGGGTAATTTCTCGCTTTCTGTCTCTCTCTGTCTCCAGAAACCACATGTGCCTTATGGCAAAAACCTTAATAAAAAAAATAAAAAAAACATGGGACCAGCAGTTAGCATAATGGCTATGCCACTGGACTCCTATGTAGTCGACCGTGGTTCTCGTCCCGGACCTGGTGGTTTAAAATTCACACCGGGCGCATGTGTGTGCATGCCCAAGATCCCAAGAGGAGAATGGAGGAGAAGGGATTGCGGCATCGCCATCCCCCTGGGGGATGATTTCTTGCTTTCTATCTCTCTTTCTCTCTCTGTCTGGTGAGCACACGCGCCCTATAGCAAAAAAAAAAAAAAAAAAAAAAACCTCTCAAAAAAAAAAAAAACACACAACTCCAGCTTGCTGCATGAGCTTGACCTTTCACTATGGAGTGTGGAAATCACATCACAACCAAGCCTCCGATTCCCACATGCCCTCAGAGGGGAACACCTACTCAAATGCACACACAAGCTGAGAAGCAGCCACTTACTGAAGAAAGCAGTGTGGATCCTCTGTGAGCACGCCCCCTCCACACACAGTGGCTGGCCGCGTGGCAGGATGCCCAGCCAAGGTTACAAGGGGTCGTCATCTTCATGGCCCCCTCATGGGGAGATGGCCCTTCCTTACAGTGGAGGGCTACAAAGCCCACTTGGAAATTTGGCACAAACCTTCCTGGGTGCTGCTGATTAACAACAGTAACTTGTTTGGGTTTTTTTTTTTAGAGGTTTTTGCCTTAGGGCCAATGCACTCCAGAGACAGAAACAGTGAGAGGAAAGTGAGAAATCATGGGGGGGTTAGGGGGGAGGCCACACTGCAATCCTCTAATCCCTTCTCCTCCATCCTCCCAGGATCTTGAGCAGGCAGGCACAAGCCCAGCATGAGCTTCAAGCCTCCAGGTACAGGACTTCACCCACGGTCGGCCATGAGGGAGTCTGGGAACGTAATCGCTACGCCATCTGCTGGCCCCCAACCGCGGTAATTAATAAAACGAGAAGTGAATTTTCCTGCCAGTCATTTCACGGTGAGGCCAGTAAGAACTACATCGCTGAGCCTCTGGGCAAACCCCAGCAGACTGCCTCCCCTCAGCTCCCCGGGGAAAGGCTGAGTCACTGGGACAGCCTCCACTCCCATGCTGGGAAGCCAGCCGGCCTCACTGCAATTACTTCCCCTTGCAAGAGAGCCGGCTCATCTAGGATACACAAATGGGTCCCCAAGAAGAAAAGCAGTGCCCTTGGGACGCTAACAGAGAAGGCTGGAGGATCAGAAGCAGGATCAGAAGTGTAAAGCCTCTGCCTTCCGCTTGCCCTTGCCCGTAAACAAGATGGTACAGCCTGGGGGCACTCCCAGGGGGCACTCGGAATGGGCCCCATCCTCCCCCAGGTGTGCTTTCCCTTTCTCCGCAGGAAGGCCCTGTGGAAACACTCAGTTCCCCTCTGCTTCCTCCTGAAACCAGATTCAAGACTCTACGAACCCTATCAAAGTACTGAACAGTTCAGCATATCTATATTACAGATCTTATTCGTAAGGGTCTTTCTGTTCAGCCTTCCGTTCTTATCTTTTAGACCTTCATTCCTCCTGTAATCCTCTGTGGTACCCACAAGACTGGATTCTAATATTTGATGTGATTTTAAAAAAAAAAAATTATTGTTACCAACATTTATTTTAAAGTTGAAAAAAGGTCTGCTATTTTAAAGGAATTACAAGTTTACTATCAGAGCAGTGTTAACTAGAGGATCGAGGCGACTCGCTTTGCCCTAGGGGAGCCCCCAGCAAACCACCACAGACCCATGTGCTTCCTCCTGCCAGAGCTCGAGAAAATGGCTTCCTTCACCAGCACCTCCCTTTCCCGGCCTCTCCTGGAGGTCCCGGCGGGCCATCCCCAAGCCTTTGCATGCTGCCCAGCAGGGTTCCATTTCCCAGACTTTCAAAGCATTGCTTCATTGCAGAAGGTTGTACAGGAAAAGGAGCCAGGGAGGGCGGCTGGGAGCAAATACCTGTGCCCACCCATCGGCCAGATTACCCTTTTAAAGTAGCTGCTTCTGTGTCTGAAGCTCAGAAGGGAGCAGAGCAGAATCTGCCCCACTCAAGCATAAAAAGCACCTCTTCCATCCAGGGGTCCTGAGAATTGTGGGCAGCAGGGAACATTTCCTTACTAGCACTCCAAAATCAGAGAGCAGCCTGTCTGGGGCCGCCTAGCAAGCAGTGTTATCTCCGGGCACTTCCACCTTTGCCCAGCGTCCTGGGCCAACAGCCTGCTGGCTCCTCACACCTACCTGTTACTCCACTGGGCAAGGACACTGGACTAGGAATAAGATGTGACCTTGAACATGTCATCTTTCCAATCTTCACGTTTCCCACCTGGCAGGGAGGTGGTTAAAACCGCTGGATCCCACATGGCCACCTGCCCAGCTCAAGTCCTGAACCTGGCAGCTTGAAAAACATACTGGGCGCATGTGCGTGCATGCCCAAAATGCCAAGAGGAGAATGGAGGAGAAGGGACTGCAGCTTGGCCATCCCCTCTGTGTGTGGGGGGGAGGGGGGGATTTCTTTTCCCTCTCTCTCCCGTGAGCGCACATGCCCTATAAAGACATAAATAAATAAAAGCTACCTGCCTGAAGTCAGTAAATGCTCTTTAAAAAAAGGGTGGGAGGCCAGGGAGGGATGGGAACCGGGTGGTTACGATCTGTCTATAGGCTTGCAGAGAGGATCAACTCGAAGTCATTCATTCGTTCATTCATTCATTCATTCACCCACTGGGTCTGCCGACACTATTTGTGGGTTGCAAGCTAAACAGCAAAGCCATACACAAGCACGCGGGTGTCTCGGCGTCTCGAAGCCCGGCAGGTCCCCAGCGCAGCCTCGCTGCCCCACTGTGGGACGAGCGTGTGGCAGGCGGGCTTCAGGACTGGCAGGCGTCTCCTGAGAGGGCTCGGGTATGGCTTGCCAGTCACTCGGCATCCTCCTCCGGGGAGCCCCGGGCCTAAAATGGCCTGTCCACCAGAGACGGCTCCGCACAGGGCCATCCGTCCCCGAGTTAGAAAATGCTCCGACTAGACAGGGAGGCTCTCTCCGGGCAGGGCCGTGTAGAGCACACAGGGCTGCGAGCGACAGCCCGGGGTCCTCTCCTGGCACGGCCCTGCACACTCTGCTGGGTGACCTTGAGCAAGCCGACGCCCCATCTTGCTCCCGTTCTCCCAGCTGCAAATTACGCGGCTGGCGCAACGCCGCTCCTGGCATCGGCCTCTCCGCGGAGCGCAGATCCGACCAGGCGGCCCCGAGACCCAACACCGGGCCTTTCGTGCCCCCGCCCGCAGCCCGCCCCGGCCCCCGGTACCTCGCAGCGCCTGCCCGCCGCGCTTCGCCTCCTCATGGCCCGCCGGGCTCCGGTCGGCGTCGTACCAGGCGCCG